AAGCTTTGCATCTATCATGCGTGTTCAAGCAAGAAAGCCTTTAATGTATTGGCGTTGGGATAGAAATAGCCCTTGGGAATGAGGAGCCACTTCAACTCCGAGAAAGTAGGTTAATGGTCCAAAGTCCTTGAGAGAGAATCTTTGAGCAAGGAGATGGATAAATTTTTGCACAACCTCATCATTGTCCCTTATAATAATAATGTTGTCAACATAAATCAAGAGATAAAGTGTATGCCCATGATTGTTGCAGAGGAACAAAGATGTGTCTGTAAGAGAGTTTGCAAAGCCAGAAGTTATAAGGAATTGCAGTAATTCATGATAGCAAGCTCTAAAAGCATGTTTAAGCCCATAGATGGCTTTGTGAAGTTTATAGATATTATGAGGATGATCACGATCAATGAAACCCGAGGGTTAGTTTATATAGACATCCTCAGAAAGAGTACCTTGGAGAAAGGCATTGTTCATATTAAGTTGTCGAAGAGGCAATCCCCGACCTACAACAATGCTAAGAATTAGTCGAATAGTGGTTGGCTTGACAACTGGACTAGAAGTGTCATGAAAGTCTATTATAAGGCGTTGATGAAACCCCTTTGTAACTAGGCCAGCCTTGTACCTATCAACTGATCCGTTAGATAAATACTTATTTCAAAAATTACACTTACAACCAACAATATTATGTGTTGGATTTGATGGAACCAGTTCCCATGTCTCATTCCGAACAAGAGCATCATACTCATCAGACATGGCTTGACGTCACTTAGGATCCTTAAGGGCCTGGGTTACTAAGGTGGGTGCAAGGTCATCAGATGTGGCAAGTTGAGCGGTTAAGTTTAATTTGGTGATTGGTTTGTGAATGTTATTTTTGGAATGGGTTACAATGAATCGGGAAGGAGAGGTAACAGTGGTGAGGGGGTTGGTTCAGTTGTAGAAGTATTCGTTATTAATGGAAGAGAGGTGGGTATTGGATCCGCATAGGGTATAGAAGTCGTAGCCGTAGATGGTGTGTCAGTAATCGAAAGAAAAGACACAGAGGGACAGTAGTGAGAGAGTGTGTCAGAAGAGGCACGATCCAATTAAGAATAAAGTGATATAAATAGAAAAATAAACTCAATAAATTTAACATGACGCGATGTGTAGATACGAGAGGAAGTGGGTTCAAGGCATAGGTAGGCACTTTGGGTAAAGGAGTAACCAAGAAAGACACAAGGAGAAGATCGAGAAGCTAGTTTGTGAGATGAGTTTGACCAAAGCCATGGATAACAGAGATATCCAAAACTATAAAGTTTAGAGTAGTTTGAGGGAATTCCAAAAAGTTTGAAATACGAGAAGAGAAAATGAAGGGTTGGAGTGGGTAAACGATTGATGAGATAAACAGTAGTGGTGAATGCATAGGACCGATAAGATAAAGGCATGGATGCATGAGAAAGGAGTGAGAGCCCTGTTTCAATAATGTGATGATGACAACGTTCAGAATAACCATTATGTTTTGGTGTGTGAGGAGAAGTAAGATGGGAAATTCCATTTGTAGCAAGAAAGAAGGAGAGAGCTTGATATTCCCCACCATTATCAGAGTAAAGTGTGATGATTTTTCTACTGAAGAAATTTTCGATAAGTGATTTGAATTGGAAAAATATATCATGAACATGAGATTTGTGTTTGAACGGGTAAAGCCATATGTACTTTGTGAAGTGGTCAACAAAAATAACATAGTACTTGAAACCATTAACAGAGTGAATGAGAGATGTCCACACATCTGAAAATATTATTTCTTGAGGGGAAGAGCTGACAAGGGTGGATACTGAGAAAGGTAACTTGTGAATTTTAGACCATTGACATGAATTACAATTGAGATTTTTATTGAACGGCCTTGACACTTCTAGGTGAAAGTTGGAAACCACGTGTTTATAAATGGAAGAAGAAGGACGCCCTAACTATGATGCCACATGAATGGCGTGGTTTTGACACTAGAAAAAGCCACCAATGGAGGAGACTTAACGGAAGAAATCGACCATTCATACACACCATCCTTAGTTTGGCCTTACAGAAGAGTTGCCCCCGCGCGAAGATCCTTCACAAGAAAATAAATGGGTAAGAATTCAATTGAAGTATTGTTGTTTTGACAAAATTGAGAGATAGAAATGAGGTTTTTTTTCATGGTAGGAACACATAAAACATTATTTAAATTAAAAGTGTGCGAAGAAGTATGGAGAGATTTGGAACCAGCATGGGTGATAGGGAGCCCAGTGCCATCACCAATGACAATGTCATCAGAACCATCGTAAGGAGTGTGAATAGAGAGATTGCCTAGGTCAATGGTAACATGGTATGACGCACCACCATCAGAAGCCAACTAGAATTGCCAGACATAGTGGTAGTTGCAAGGTTTGCCCACGGTTGCCATGGTGCTGTACGACGAGAATGCCATTGTGAATCCTAACGAGAGGTTGGAGGTCGTTGTAAGGTGGGATGTAGCTGACAAAATACAGGACACTGTGTGACAGTGTGACCTTGAGTTTGACACCATTGACATCGATCGAGGTAGGGCCGAGATGAGGGACGACCACTTTGTGTTGTGGCGTTGATGTTGCTTGAGGTAGGAACATTTATTGATGTGGAGAGAGTAGGCATCTATGATGGACGCTAACTTCGATTGCCATGATGGCCTTGGTTGAATCTGGACTGAGTTGGATTTGCAGTGGCTGAAAGTGGGGAGGAATTGGAACGAGAGTTCCTTATTGATTAGTTTCTCATATGGTTCATCAAATGAAATTAGTGGATCAGGACCATTAACAACATCAACGATAGGCTTGTAATCATCGTCAAAGCCATCAAGAATTGTCTCAATTAGATCCTCATCATCCATGGGTTTAACAAGGACTGCAAGTTCGTCAGCACGAGTTATAATATACTGCATATAATTAGAAATTGTTTGGGTACCCTTAGTGGCTTGCTTTATTTGGTCCTTGATTTGCTTGATATGGCCACAAGAAGGTTTAGCGTAGATGTTGGCAAGAATTTTCCAAGCATCTGATGAGGTTTTGGACTGAGAAATAAGAGGTATAAGAGTTGGGGTGAGGGAGCCGACAAGAGCACTAAAGATTAGTTTGTCTTTTCGTCGCCATGTTAGGTAGGCTGAATTGGAAGTGGTGGTATTATTGGCAATGATTTCAGTGGGAGGAGCAGCATGAGAGCCATCAATAAACTTGTAAAGATCATAACCGATCAAGAGTGCTTCCATCTGAAGTTTCCAAGAGAGATAGTTGGTGGAAGTGAGTTTGACAGAATTATTGATGTTGATAATGATAAGAGGTTTGGTAAGTTCGTGTGCATTAGGGATTGTGGGTGGATTATTTTCACTAGCCATGGTTGAGCGGCGTTTGTGGAGGACATGAGAAAAAGAAACTAGAAAAAAGGAGGCTGAGGTTTTTCTTTTTATTTCACAGTACCAGGACCAGATAGCTCTAATACCATAAAGAGTAATATTGAGGGAAAATAATGAATTGTCTCATTTCTTTACACTGTGTACAACAAGCATATATACAGATTACGACCAAATCCTATTCTGGAAATAACATGATACTAGGAGATTGATTGGCTATATAAAAAGGACAGCATAAACATAGGAATTGATTTTCTATACATCAACAGTAAACATAGGAGTGGGAAAACGTTAGTTTAGGTATTTTCTTTATTTCCTTTATCATATGGAGGAAAAGAAAAATAAACAATAAAAATTATAGTGAAAAAGCATTTTGTTTTAGTTTTTCTTTTTGTTAATTCTTTCTGTCAATCTCTATGAATAATTAGAGAATCGTCTATTAAGAAAACCTTTTGAGAAAAGTCGCACTTAACCCAAATTTAGAGAAAAACATGATATGCTGGACTAGTTTTTGAAGAAACTTAAATACCTTAATATCACTTGATCTAATATTAAAAAACTTTTCTTGATTTTTTGCTATTATATCTTTATGAGAAATATATAATAAATATTTTAAATTAAAATTCATTTGATATAAGTTTTTAGTTGAACTAAGAAAAATAATCAGCAATAAACATATTTTAAGAAATTCAGAATTAATAATTTTTTTCTTTTTTTTTCTTTCTTCAATTAGTATTAAAATTTTAACTATGTTTATTTCTTATTATTATTATTATATATATATATATAGGAAAGAGGTATACATTGAATGTTTTACTTTTTCGTTATAAATAATATCATATTAATAATTATTAGTTTATATTGGAATTTATTGAAATATACACAGGTCTGCATGTTTTTAATTATGGATCTTCATGAGAATTACATCTGTTTTATTTAATATGTTAAGATTAAGATAAAATAAAGACATAAGATATTTCAAGTAATTTCTAAAATAGCAGGGTGGAAGTAAAATTTTGAAAATGGGATACCATATATAAAAACATAAGATGAAGTTGAAAATAAAACAAAGCAAGAAAGGATTTTAGAGAGAAAAACCAAGCGTTGGGCGGACCAAATACATGACTATAGTGACAGAACTCTCGAATTAAGGGTTAAACTGAACAATTTTCAAAACTTTGGGGTGCCATGACCCTAAGCTAACGAGTAGTTCAGCTCCAGCTAAACTGATGACCTTGCGTCTTGTAGTAACAATTTCACATTTTATCAGTGTTCCATTAGATCCTCCGCCAAGTGTTTAACGGACTTATGTGGAAAGAGACAAAAAAAAAAAAAAAAAAAAGGTCGGAGAAATTCAGATGCGTACTTCTGGGCAGTTTTACCAGAGCTTGCCACCGCATATGTGAGAAGCAAACCAGAGCATGCCACGAGCAAGCAGCTGTCTCTGCATGTCTGCCACGCAGCCTCCCTTGCCTTGCCTAGCTAGCTCCATTTATATTGACCCGACAGTTCGGTTGCACTAAATATAAAGAGAGAGGAACAGTAGAGAACAAGGTATCAGATAGAAAGAAAGAACGAAAGAGAGTTAAAAGGAACAAACACAGCAGAAACTTAGAAATCAATGGCTAGGGAGATTGAGAAGGATTCACTGGCAAGAGAGGCACCTTATGCACCTGTTACTTATGAGAGACCTGTTCGTGATGATTTGGATGATAAAATCCCGAAACCTTGTAAGTTTTCTTCTTTCTTTTTTCTTTTTTTTAATAGTCTTCATTGATAACATTTTTGTTGTGGATAAGTTAAAGTCTAAGTTTGGCGTGAGGGATAGTAAGGCTAGGTCGATCATTTCTTTTATTTTATTTTTAATCAGAATTACAACAAAGGGGGTTCTTGATCTACAGCTATGGGGCAAAGGGAGAAAAAATAGTCAATTCCCCATAGATAGAAACTCTCTTTAAACCTGCAATTTTCTCCCGAAGGAGGAAAAAGAATGCCCTCTCCAACCACAAATGGGACTTAGATTGAAGTAACACCAGACTGCCTCCGGAAAAGCATACAGAGATCACGCTAACATTTATGACTACTGAGTGAATTTTTCAAGAGTGAACCATCGTAGCAGCTTGTTCGCACTCTTGCAATTTGCCTACTAAATTTGAGATTCTGCCAATCACGAGGGAAAAAAAATGTTTGTGTTTCTTTACCAGTCTTTCGCACTATTTACGTTGTAGTAAACATAAATTGTTTGGTACCTAAAAAAAAAAAAAAAGAACGAAGGTCTTTATTTATTTATTGTCTGAAAATGGTGTGTTTGATTTCATATATCTTGGACTGATTGTCTTCTGTCAGGAAATCAACAGAATAATTAAGGGAGATGCTTTGTTTTTAGGTTAGAAATTAAGATCACAGTCTGTGTTTAGAAATTTTGGGTAGACAACATGTTGAGCCATATCACGGTAGAATTAAGAGGAAGGGTTAACAAAATTACTTACAGAATTGATGTCGAACTTTGACTTTCCTTGATCTTCTCCTTTTCTGATAACTGATTTGAAACCAATTTTGGGCAACGTACAATGTTCAAAAATGGGGGAAAGTATATGAAGTTATGAGCTGAATTCACTGGTAGAAGAAATAAGAAGGGGAAAATGTTTTGCTTCCATGGAGTAATCTACGTGCTATGTTTAGTTTCTGGATGAAACTTTTGATCTTTTCCTTTGGCGTGAAAACAGACATGGCAAGAGGTTTGCAAGCTCCTGATACAGAATATCCTTATGGAACACCAGAACATCAGCATCACGGATTGAGTGTCCTTCAGCAACATGTGGCCTTTTTCGACATAGATGAAAATGGAATAATTTACCCTTGGGAGACTTATACTGGTAAAAGAAAAAAATGATTTGTTTATCATCCTAATTATTCTTTTTCATATTTTGCATCCGCTGTTTCCTAAACAAAAAAAATGAAAGGAAAGAAAACGAATATTTATCTATGGTGTACCGTTCGTCAAATCATGAAATGCATCTTTGTTGTTTATTATTCTTTATATTTTACTTACATTTCTCTTCTCTTTTGATCATCTTCACCCTATCCCCAACAAAACACAGGATTGCGTGCAATTGGTTTCAATATAATTGCCTCTCTTATAATAGCTGTTGTTATCAACGGAGCTTTGAGCTATGCTACTCTTCCCGTGAGTCAACTAAACTTTATTTCTGCCATCTAAAGATACTTACAATGAAGGATCAAATGTCACTTTCTAGAGTCGAAAAAGAAATATATTTTTCTTAAACTGTGGCTATCATAATCTGTTTAAGTTTCTAATCTGTTTCTAGATTGCTGCAAATGCTTTATCTTTATAGTGTGGAGATAGGAGACTGCTTATCATGCAGTATTAAATTCATTTCAGGGATGGTTCCCGTCTCCCTTTTTTCCCATATACATACACAACATACACAAAGCCAAACATGGAAGTGACTCTGGAACTTACGACACAGAAGGAAGGTAGGCATTTAAACGCATGAACTGTATCCAGATCATCCTTAAAGTTGAAAAGTCTACTGCCATATATGATTAACCAATATCCATGCAGATACATGCCAGTGAATTTCGAGAACGTTTTCAGCAAGTATGCTAATACAGTGCCAGACAAGTTATCACTCCGAGAGCTCTGGGCAATGACCGAGGGACAACGGAATGCCTTTGACATCTTTGGATGGTTTATTTCCAGGCTCCCACCTGTTTTCCAACTCAATATGATTGATTTTGAAACTAAGCTGATGTGATTGAGCAATGGCTTGCAGGATCGCATCTAAATCAGAGTGGGGGATTCTCTATGTTCTTGCAAGGGATGAAGAAGGTTTCCTGTCCAAAGAAGCTATGCGACGATGTTTTGATGGTAGTTTATTCGAGTATTGTGCCAGAATGAACATGGATGCTGAGGCGAAGATGCGCTAAAGGCGATGTTGGTGATCTCTTAGATCACCAAAGTACGCATCAGGAACCCATGCAGTTTCCTGTTAACTAGTAACGTTAGTGTAATAATTTGAGACCCGTCCTTTTCTTTCTGCAGAAAATGAATTCAAGTGCCTGTCCAAAACTGGTAATTTATCAAACACCAAAGCGTTGTGCACGTGTTTGAATATAAACTCATGTAGACACTAAATGTGTGTTTGAATATCATCATGGTGCTGGTCAAGATATTTCAGTTCCTAAACCGAGTATTTGCTTCTGCTAGCATATACATTGTGGTCGGTTGTCATCACGGATTACAACTTATTATAATACTAATTATAATATTATAATATTAAAATAACGATAAATGACATGTTTTAAAATTATTATATAACGGTAATTATTTAAAAAATTATGATTGGTAGGGCCATCAGGCTTCCGTTTCCTAGCATTGCCCACATAGACAAATAAGTGCAAATCTAATGGCGGTTCCAAAATTACCTTGGGTCTGAGACAATCTTATTAGTGCGAATCATCTGAAGACCGAACAGGGTTTACCAATAAATAAGCAATATTCAGACAGATTTCTCGGAGACACAAAAACACGGACATTGAAACAAGACTAAGGCAGCAGCATAAGGGAATGCTTCAAGAAACATAATACAATGGATTTGGAAGTTTGAATGACCTCCGTACTCTTGGAAGTCCCTCAAAGCTGCTGTATTTGTCTCCAACGATTCCCCAAACGCGGTATCCATCACTGATCAATTGTTCTCTCACGTTGGCCTTCCGTTGTTGCACCTCATTCAGCTCATCATCTGAGCCCCTGCATCAAACCAAAAGTATTCTGTTTTACCTTAACACAAGATGAGTCCAGCCACGATAACCAACATCAACAAGGTTGTCGGTTGTGGCTGATCTAAGATGTTTTATTCTTGAAGAAACCAAAAAAATTTGAACTCCTGTGGATTTCAATTCGTCGAAGAACTTAGAGTGAGTGCTCCAAAGCTGGTGCCTTACCCTGGCTCATCCATCCCTCTTAAAGAAGTCAAGTTTAATTTTTTCTCCCCTGCTCAAAATCGAAAAGGTTAATCATTATTACATGCAAATCAGAAGCTCACGGAAGAAGAATGAAAATGGTCATAGATCGGGATTCTTGATTGCAAGCATGCAACCAGTTTTGCCTTCATCTACAAATATAGTAAGAGACAAAGGGAAAGGAGAAATGGATCACCCGAAATGATGTTTCTTGAAGTAAGGCAGAGTGGATAAGACAGTATCATCAATCTCAAATAGCCTAGCGTCTTTACCATCTTTCATCAAAGTGCCGGTAGTGCTGACATATAATCTGCATTCTTCAATTGTCCTCTCGGAGTCAACTTGGTACTGGCTTGATGTAACATAATTGCCCATGTAGGGGACACATTCTTCTGGCACAACTTTGAAGTCTTGGATGTTATGCAGCTCAACGTTTATTATTCTCCAGCTTTCACAATAACTTTTCAGGCTAATCTTTAACCCACTCCTTGTTCTTTGGTTCATGATATTCCAGCCTGCGAATTCTGCACTAAAGAAAAAAACTCGAGAAACACAACCAGAAGCCGAGAAGACACCCCATTTTTTTACTTCACGTGATGCTACGATTGCAAATAACGAGGCTTACATTACTCCGGTTGTTTGACGGAAAATAACTTTCAATTCAAAAACAATTATGAAAAAGTTATTTTTCATAAAATTATTTTTAAAAAATATATTTTTTAATGTTTGACAATTATATCAAAAAATTATTAGAAAATATATTCCAACGTTTGTTTGATACAGAAAACTGAAATAAAAAAATAAATTGTGATTGTTATATCAACGAGTTTTGAGCAAAATTCAATAAAGCATATTTGTAATCTTACAATATAAGCTACATTTAAAAAATTTAATAAATTTTTATAAATACTAACTCTAAGATTTAAAATAAAAAAATAAAATGTACAATTTTAATCATCAAATCAATTCATCAAAACTACTTGAAACAAAATTAAGTGAATATTCACATTTAGTAAAATAATAATAAGTAATTCTAGCATAGTTATTTTGATAACTTAATTAATAATTCTTTTTCCTTTTTTTTCTTTTTTCTTTTTTGGAAATTGAACTGCTAATTTAGTTTAAAAAATAATTTTAAAAATTGTTAGTTATCATTTGTAGATAATTTTTCATTTGGTTTCAAAAGATTAATATTGAAATAATTTGTAACTAATTATTGACTATAATTACCAATAAAATTTTACAACTAATTAAAATTAGTCACAAATTATTTATTTAGTTACAAATAAATAGTGTTGAAAAAATAACGAAGTTATTAATGAATTAATTAGTTTTAAATTTTTCACAAATAATCGCAGCCTTATAATAATCGTTTTCAATCATTTAAGTATAGTTTAAATTATGTTTAAGATAATGATGAAAAAAATAGAGATAAATTATCAAAACATTTATTATAAAGATAATTTTAAGGTGTGAAACTTATTTTTAAGAATATTTAATGTATTTATAAATCAAACAATTAAATCTTAATAAAAATAAAAAAATAATTAAATAATAAAAATCAATATTTAAAATTAATTTAATATATTTTCAATATAAAAAAGAGATAAATGAAAAAAATTATTAAAATATATATATATATATAAAAAAAAAGAGCGAGACGTGAGAGAAAAAAAATGTTTTTTTAAAAAAAAAACTCGAAACACTTTTTTAAAAATATCTTATCAAATTCGGTTGACTGAAAATCAAATTCCATTGGCTTTCTTTTATAAACACCAAAAAAAAAACATCAAAAAATGAGAAAAAATGATAGAAACAAATTCTTAAAATTTATTTTCCTCAAAACAAATATAGGCTAAATAACAAATGCAAAGGGAATCGGATCAAGAAACGTCACATTATATACATAAAACAAGAACTCAGTACCAGCGTGCTGGTCGAGGTGGGGAGTACCCTAAAATAAAGAAAAATGATCGCTCAACTGAGAAAAACGAGGGTTTTATGCTGCAAGGGTTGACAGTTGCATATGAAACAGCACGATCAACGGATATCCAGTTGCAAAAACAGCGAGACCGTTATTTAGAATTTAAAAAAGAAAAGAAGAAAAAACTTCTTTTAACCATAAGCTCATGACAAAAAGATCAACCCATCGGGGCATACCACCAGACCACCATACAGCTTCAATAACATTGATCATAGTAAGTCTAGCAAATACAAACACCAAGCAATCCTGATTGCACGAATGGTGATCCTGCGTACTAATAATTTATTCTCCTATAGTTGTTTCCCTATAAGGAAAATTCAACATTTTCAAAACTACCATTGGGTACGGTTGCTACTGCAATAGAGTCACTAATATGGGGTAAGAACGGCTCCAATCACTTACCCATACGTTTACAAGGACTAAATTGCCACAATAAATATTTAGTTCAAATTCCAAACATAATAACTAGCTTTAAGCACAAAACAATACAGCGTCAGGAAATCTAAACCGAAGGATACAGTAAGCAATGAATCCGAGCAACTTCAATAATCCCATGGAAACGACTAGATCACACCTATTTTATACAGAAATAAGACTTCAAAAGTTCGGGTACTTGAGAAAGGAACAAAAGAGTGTTATTTCACTAGTAAACATATTTGGGCGGGATTAAATATTTGGTACAGTGGGTGGTAATGGTACTGGCGACACAAGAAAGAAAGACATACAGCACGATACGAAGGACTCCACATTTTTAATAGAACTAGAAATTTAGGAAAAGCTGCCAGAAAAATTGAAATCAACACCAAACTAATACCATCTTTCTTGCACAAAATCCATGCAGTTCATTACTGCATCTAAAGCTCAATAACAAAATTCAGTGAAGTTTTCATAAACATAACTAAAATTATCCCTACAGAAACATATAGGACTAGCGACAGTTTGATCAACAATAAAAAGGAACAGACAAATTAAAACACTTTTAAACGATGGCATTAGCTGCACTTGCAATCCTTGGCCAAAGATCCGCGCACTCCTTTCCAATTGGACCAGTAACTGCAGAACCTGTAAGAAACAGCAACGAGAAAAATAAGAACATTGAAGAAATCATGCAAGTTGAATTGTGCATCTCAAAACCCTTGAATAGTGGTGGCAGGTGTTGACTCATAGGTTAGGAAGTAAAAGAACAAAGGTTTTCAGGTATTAGCTATACCTTTCATTTCTCCTTTAGGGTTCACTATGACACCAGCATTATCTGCAGGAAAGAAAAAAAACTTATGATTCAGGCACAAATACAAATTTAATAGTTTTGTCAACTCAAGTGAACAGCCATAAAAATAGTAACTGCTGATATCAAGTAGTAGACATTGTATGTATAAATTTTACTTTTGCAATCTAGTGCTGTGAGAAAATACCCCTATGCAATTAAAATAGCTACAAACCAAACATAATGCAGATATTCCCAATGACTATCAATTAGAGTGCAATTGTTTCAAAATCAAAGAACAAAATCATATTCAAAAACAGAAATGTTGGGTCCAAATGGAGCAGATATGCAAATTAAAAGACTCAGCAAATCTGTAACGACGGACACTGTCAATTTACCAGACGTGTAACTGTATCAACCACGCAATGTTTAGGAGGACACCTGACTTAGTCTGGTAAAATGTCATGTTAGCCTACCAAAACCATTGAATGTATTATGCTATAATTTTACAAAATTTCTGTATATAATATGCACAAGTGGTGTTTGAATATTTAATTAACAAACAATATCCCAATGCATCAAGGAGATACCTGTAACCAAACTAAACACACTATGCATGTCCCAACATTCACATGGATGATAAAACATAACTACCATCCGGATTGGGGTAGGGTGAGTATATATAATGTTGCTGGTTATGGGAGATGCAGAGAAACTTCATCAAAATTCTCAACACTACATCACCAGCAATAAATCATACAAACACCATCAAACACATCAAAGATAAACATTGTAAGAAACCATTCCAGATAGAAAGTTAAGTTGAAAGAGTTCCACAAGTATAAGTACGTATTGAATTGCGAAAAGTGTGATTCTACGTAGGAGAGATCACACACAATAAATATTCGATTATTTTGCTCAATAGCTGGTCACAGGAAGCATCATATCATAGAAAGCACAAAAACCCAGAAGTGAGATATGAACACATCATGTCGCTGCTTGACCAGCTACTCCTATTTCCTAGTGCTCACTAGCACCAGGAACATAATTTAAAAAAAACAAAAAGAAAACCCTTAATACAAATTAGAAAACATAAATAAATTGAATCTCCAGCAAGCAAGATGATAAAAATAACATAAATCATGAACACATTAATAAAAAGATAAAGACAGAATAAAGTAAATAACCACCAAACAGATAACAAAATAAAACTAGATATAGAAAAACACTAAAGTAAAAAATAACAGATGAAAGAGAATGACCTTCGAAATACATGAAAACACCATCCTTTCGGCGCCAAGGCTTACGCTGCCTAACAATGACAGCAGGCATGACCTTCTTCCTGAGATCAGGCTTACCCTTCTTGACAGTGGCCATAACCATATCACCAACACAAGCAGAAGGCAAACGGTTCAAACGACCCTTGATTCCCTTCACAGAGATGATGTAAAGGTTCTTAGCACCAGTGTTGTCAGCACAGTTCACTGTTGCTGCCACTGGCAGACCCAGTGACATCCTGAACTTGTTACCAGCTGATCCTCCGCGTCCTGTATTTTTATACAATCCAACAACAACAACAACAGCGGTAAGGATCTAATTATTAGCAGAAACAAAACAAGAGATCTGATGATTTTACTTGGTTTTGTTAGAAATCAGAGAGAAAAACAAAATAGAGAGCGTTGGAAGAAGAGAGAGAACTGACCTCGCTTCGACATTTTTGACTGCTGAAGGTAAACGAAGGAGAGAGTCAGGGTTTGGAGGCTTTATATAGACGGCTCTCTGTGTCTAGGGTTTTTGTTGATGTGTTTTTTCATGTTTCCGGTTATGTCCTTGGCATTTTGGTTTAATTCCGTGATGGTACAACTTACAGGAGGCCTCGTGAAATCATACGTACCCTCCTCGGTTCAAAAATCCTGGGCCTGGCTCCTTTTTACTACTACTCAATAACGAAACACCCACTCATATTTGAACTTGTAAAACAAGCCCAATCCAAATAGAGCACAATTAACTTAATAATTCAACACTAACCTCTAAAAATATATATATATATATATAACAAACAGTGCTGGAGAGTAATGGCCTGAACAAGATGAGGCCTGGAAAAAGATGGGCTTAAAGCCTAATAAATAGCAAGTCCTTTCTATTTTCCTTCTAACCCAAATTTGACCCCAATTCACACCATGCCTTGACATTTCCAGCGAGAACATAAATATATTTTGTCAGATGCAGAGGTAAGAACTTAAAGACTAGCGAGAACCAGATGCAAATGGAATGATCGATCTATAGCTAGAACATGGACTTGAACTCCACACTGTAACCAGCTTTGATTACTCAGAAGCTAAAAGTTAAATAACAATTACTCCGATCATTTTACAACACAATTAAGAAAAAGACAATGCATGTAAATGTAATATGCAACCGTTTTCTGCTTTTGGATACGATGTCTTCTTTCATCCCCAATAAACTTAAATTGTTAAACTTGATTTTACTCAAGTCTAAAGCCCAAAGGCCGAGTATAGAAAAATTTTCTCTCAACAATCTAGCATTGCCGACGTTTAAGAATTCTCTTGAAGTTTTTCTAAGATTTTTTTTAACTCTTCAAAGTGCATTTATAATGTGCTTATCTTTTGATTCACTAAAATCATCTTTAGGCTAATATAAATATGATCATTTGGCCATAAGTTTGGGCGTGCAAAGAATAAAGAGTTAACCCAGTACTGTAGAGAAAATAACTAAGAATATGATGGCTTATTGTCTGTAATAATGATTGATTAGTGTATGCAAAAATAGTTGAGAGAAATATATTTTTGTATTTTGTCCATTAAATATTTTATTTAGTCTTTCTTCCAAGGAAATGATGTCAGAGCTAGTTAATTAAAACAAAAAATAATGACAAGTGGACTCCTTTCATTTTAATTTTCCAGTCTTAACAAAAACAAAATATGATAGTCGGTCTATTCGATTAAATAATGGTTCGAACAAGGTAAAGCCTGCAAAAATATGGGCTTAAAGCCTATAAATAACACGGGAGAAGTTGACTGCAAAAGCCTTTAGATCATAAGTACTTTCTATTTTCCTTTTAACTGAAATTTGACCCCAGTTCACGCCATGTCTTGATATGTCCAGCATTCAATTAACTAATAATAGGATCTTTCTTTACGGTTTGGATAACATCGTTAACTTGAGGCAGGCATGGTTCTGAAAAAACATAAATAAATATTTGTTAGATATAGTGGTAAAAAATGTACACCGTAACCAACTTTGAATACTTGAAGCTAAATTTTAAATAACTAGTAGCCAATTGCCCAGACTTTGCTGTGGGTCGAGCAAAACAAAACCATTTCAATTTTTTTAATTTTTTAATTATAATTTTTATTTAATTGTATTTTTTATGTTTTTTGAAAAAAATCTACTTAAAAAACGTGATTTATTACTCTTTATACATAGATTCTAAAATAAAAACTTGTAATGATTTAAAATAAAATATTAATCAAGAATAAAAAAAATACTTTAAAAATATATTTTTCATATGAATGTATTTAAAAAAAATTACAATTAATGTATAGACATATATAAAAACTAATTGATAAATAAAATAAACTTTTACTCTTATTTAATACTCGATAAGATGATTATTTTTTAAAAGTATATACATTTGATCTATACATATTTATTTACAAAATAATCAACAATGTTAGCATAAAAAATAATGTGTTTGAATAATTGTGTAGTTTTTTTTTTTTTTAAATATTTTAGTTATTTTATTTCAAATAAATTCATTCCATAATGTTTTTAAAAATATTTATAACAAATAGTTAGTGTTGTGTGTGAAGATATATAATTAATCTTTAATAAAAATGATGATTCAATCGTTTTTTTTAATACGAGTTTGACCATAATTAATGGACGAAAACAAATTATCCGGAATATCGTTTTAACATTTTAGATTAAAATAATTATATATTTATATATAAGCAACTATCATTTAAAAAGTCTAAGAATACATGATATATATTATATTTATTTCTTTTTAAAGAAAAAAAGAGAAAAAAAATTTGTTTTAAAATTTTATTCAAAAATTCAAAGGTGAAAAAAAAGTATATTTATCGAGTAAATAAAATTTTATTAACAAATATTAATTGGATGAGAAGTTTCATAAAAAACGACAAATTCAAAGAATAAATTTTACATAATAAGAGTAATATAATCTAAAATATATGTTAATTTTAAATTATAAAAATGATATTATATATATTTTATCCTCGTCACACTCGTATGAAAAATCACAAATAATAACACTCAATATTCCATAAGTTTTTCCTAAAAAATCTTAATTAAAAAAATTAAAGGAAAAAATCGAACATTAAAGAAAAGAAAAAAGAGAGAGAGAGAGAGAGAAAGCTCGTGTGACTAGGCCTAGAGCACCATGCATGTTTAGGCCTAGGTAGTTCTTTTTCGTTTCCAATGACCTTTGCATTTTTCGGCGATAGATTTTTTCAAAAAAGTCATTGAAAATTTGGATTTTATTATTTCAAACCTTTCAAAACCAAATCCAGCCCTTATTTTATCCAAAAAGACCTCAAAAATTATTTAAATAACATAAAAAAAAACTCGTTCAGAATATCAAAATCCAAAAAAAAGTCAAAATATTTCGAGCTTCGATCTACCTCCTTCTACCATTTCATGGCTTGCCACCACCACATACGGATTCTACTATTTGAGGCAAACAAAATGGTGGTAAGATCTATCATCATGTTGGTTACAATAGGTCTCATCAATCGTCTCTCTCTCTCTTTTTCTCTCCTCTTAGGATGCGGGGACCAAACAAATGAAAATAAAATTTTCGAATCGAAAAAATATTGTTCAAAACAAAGGGACCAAAGTGAACATTTTGGGAGGGAAAAGTAGAAGAATAGTAATTTTAGAGAGAGTGAACAATAAATGAATATTGAAAATAGAGAAAATGAATAATGTGTAACGGTGAATTTCGTTTTGTTTTAGTCAACTAATCCGGCCATTTTACAACAAAATTGAGAAAAAGACATTGCATGCAAATGCAATATGTAATAGTTTTCTACTTTTGGGTACGATGTTTCCTTTCATCTCTAATAAACTTCAACGTGTTGTTTGATTATAAAAAATGGAGTAATAGGAATAGAAATGAAATTTTTATTCTCACCTTATAGTTGTTTGGTTAAAAAAAATAAAATGAGGATGAGAATAAAAAATGAAAATGAGAATAAAAATTACATATACCTTCAATTTCATGTAAAATATAAGAATAAAAACAAAGAATATGAATGAATCTTTTTTTAAATAATGATATATTATTTGTATTTATTATGCATTGACTACTTTTACTACTACCATCATCACTACAATCACTTTCACCACCACCACTACCATCACCTCTATTGGCGGTGATGATAACAAAAATTTATTATTATTATTATTATTATTCTACCACTACTCTTCCTCCACCACCACCTCCATTTTATTATATCATAACCATCACTCTTCTTTTACTATCACATTTTATGGTGATGGTATCAATTTTTTTAAAATATATTATTATTATTACTACCATCTTCTTTTCATCCTCATCCTACTTCACTATCACTACCACAATCACCTCTATTATTTTTACTACTATCATAGTTAATAAAATTATTTTTTTAATTATTATTCTTATTCGTATTAAAAATCGGATATTAAAAAAATTAAATTTCATTTCGATTCTTGCATTTCTATTCCTAATCTTTCTTTTCTAGTAACCAAACAACACTTAATTGTTAGAAATTAAATTTGATTTGTCCCAAGTCTAAAGCCTAAATCCAAGTCCATAGTCCAAACAACCAAGTCTAGAAAAAAAAATTTCTAAATTTTTTCAAACTAGCTAGCATTGCCAACATTCAAGAATTCTAATGAAATTTTTTTAAGAGTCTTTTTCGCTTTTCTAAGTGTATTTATAATGTTCTTATCTTTTGATTCACTAGAATCATCTTTTGACTAATATAAATATGGTCATTTGGCCATAAATTTATGTGTATAAAAAATAAAGAGTTAATCAAGTGTTGTAGAGAAAATGAGTAGGAGTGTGAGGACTTATTGTCCGTAGTGGTGATTGATTAATGTGTATAAAAATACCTTAGAGAACTATATTATTGCATTTTATCCACACAAATATTTTTGTTCATCTAATTATTTAGTCTTTCTCCTAACAAAGTAGTATTAGAGAATGGTTAATCAAAACCAAGAATGATGGCAAATGGACTGCTTCCATTCCAATTTCATTGCCTTACCAAAGACAACTATGATAGTTTTTCTATTTGACTAAAAGCTCTTTTAGACTCACAAGATACTTTGAAGATTATAAAGAAAGGTTATGAGAAGCTTGCTAATGAGGCTACCTTGATCGCATGATAAAAAGACATCTTGCATTAGGGACGTAAAAAAGACTAACAAGCTCTCTCAATCATCCACATATATTTGGATGAGATTATGTTCTAGAAGGTCTTTTCTACAACCACTCGCTAACCAAGCATGAGAGATTCTTTAAAAAATCTCAACAAAAGGTTGGCAAGGTGAAGAACATTTGATTTCAAACTTTAAGATATGAGGTTGAAGTCTTACATTTGTATAAGTCCAAAACAATCTTGGATTTCATATCTAAAGTATTGGTTGTCACTAATCAACTAAAAAAGTATGGCGAAGA